TTTTTTTTACATTAATTCCAAGTTTGACAAAAAAATCGTATAATGTAAAAACAAAAAATGTCGTTCACAAAATACGATCACATTTTTTATATTACTTTACTTTATATTAATTATTATTTTCTGGAGGCAAATGATTTAAAAAAAGCCTATTGGTTATAAAAACTTACTTGAACTTCGTTGTGATTGGCGATGCAAAAAAGAATAAAACTTATTGCAGTAGCTGTGGTGTCGTGGCCCTGAAAAAATTAACCTCACTTTAACATTTACATTGTTTTTGGGCTTACAGCAAACATAAAAGTGTCTACTTCTCCTCTGATCGCTTCCGGGGTGAAGGTGTGACCATCAACAACCTTATTCAAAATCAAGTCCAAAAAAACGATTTTTTTCTTTCGACCCAAGTCGTCGTTTTCTGTCCCATTTTCGCGTTTTGACGCAATGACTTGCCTCGAGTAGTTGTGAATAGTCTCGAGAGCTTTCTTTTGTAGATAAAAGTCTCTCGAAAATCGAAAAATAAAATCGTAACGGTGAAAAACCGCCATGGTGCGGGACATGAAAATCCGGCACATTTCTTTGATACTTTCAAAATAATCCGAGGTTTCGGTGATTTGAACATTGGCTTTGGTCCCCATGGCAGTCTCTGGAGGAAACTCTAAACGAAAAATAAAAACAACAACAAACTTACCACAAATTATATCAAAAGTGCATCTGGTAATATGTGGATAAAGATCAAAATCATCTTTTTTCACCATTATTTTCGATAATTTCCCGATTAGAATGTTTCCACTTGATTCAAAAGTTTTCACAAACTCGCCCAAAATACTGTAATGGAAAGCTGGTGTTACGAGTTTTCGATGCAACTTCCATTTTGGCCCTAGTAAAAAAATGATAAAATGCCTCACTTTTGTGGGTGTTACCGTAGGCAGTTGCCACTCCAGTGCCAATCCACGGTTGCAAATGCCTCAAATTCGGTGATTTTTTTAATAAAGTGTTACTTGTCAGTAAGAATTCAAGAAATTTTGGGTTGGAACAGAGTAACATGTGTTGAAAAGGGCCAATTTTTAGGTGAACCATCGTTCCGTATGTTTTTGCATATTTATGAAAGCTCTGAAAAAGATCTGAAAGCGAGTCTAAGAAACTTAGTTAGTAGAAATCTCACCTCTTGTTGTTTTTAATTCCAAAGCGTTTCCGAAAAAGGGCGTTTTTGGAGGGCTTGGAAACTGGTGGTAGAATTTCTCCAATGCAGAAAATTTAGTAAAATAGTAATAAAGAGGAAATATAATTAAAGCAAGAGCAATTAAATATTCTGCTACGAGAACCATTGTTGCAACACATTACAGTTCAAAGATTACTTCAAATTAAACATCAATATCAATTTAAACAAACTCGTTTACATTTGTTTACAAATATTTCACTATCATAATTGTTATTTACGTCTAGTTTGCTACTAAGTGAACTACAGCCTTGCTTCTGGTCATTAAATTGGGATAAATTTAGCTGTTTTAAGAAAAGTTTAAACAAACTCTATGAAAAAATATTTTTTGAGTTTTTGACCGGTAGTAAAATCGTCAGATTTTTACTTTTTTTTATTTTGTAAATTATAAAAAAAACTGTGACTCAATGATACAATATTTTGATGCAGACATATGTAAAATGCTCCGGGGAATCGATTGGCGTCAAGAAAACTGCAAAATTCTTAACAGTTTTGAAGTTATAGCCAAATTTAGTTTTTAATATTTTTGACTTTTCAGAAATTTTCTCGATAACTATTTATCGTAGAACACTTTTTTTTGTATATGATAGAAAATTAAATTTTCTTTCCAACGGTACCAAACGTGAGATATTATTACGAAAAAGTCCGGAGTTATTAGCAATAGTCCGCTCCAGGTGCCAAAAATCGACCAAAATTTTGACAATAATAAAAAAAATTAGTTTTCTACATTTCTAAAGATCGTAAAGACTAAAAAAGTGTATAAAACATAAAAATTCCGAGTACCAATGTCAGAAAGTTTTTTTTGTGTATTTTTGATAAGAGTTAAGAGAAGGTAGGTTTTTTTCCACCTCTCAAAATATATCTTTTTAAAATAATTCCTGGATTTAAAAATCCCCAATAAGGACTTTTTTCAACTAGATAATGAAATAGAGAACAGAGGTTTTATGGTTTTGCTTAGTTTTTAATAAAAACCCTTAATAAGTCTGTTTTATTAACGTTGACACAACATTCTCTATTGTTAAATTACTTATTTCATTTGCAAACTTATTTTGACCACATTTAAAGAAACAGTTCAAAGTTCCTTACAATTTTGGAAAACAAACTTTTGATCTCTAACATGGCAAATTTTTGCACTGAAACGCGGTCTAGAAAAGAGAAACAAGAAGAATACAACAGAACTGTGTAAAAAATAATCTGGTTTATTTTGGCAAAATTATCTTGAATTTGGTAAAAGAAGCAAAAATGATGCATTTTAGACATAATTTTGCATTTTCTGTCTTGTTTTAGGGCAATTTTTTGAATTTCTTGAATGAAAAACGCCTCAAATCCAGCAAAACGAAAAAAAAGCATCGCATTAAAAACTTTTTTTCTGACAAAAACAATGTAATCCAAGCAAAAATAACGCAAGTCCGACCTAATTCAACATTTTTATTTATAGTCTCAAATCGACTTGGATCAAATTTTTCCGGATTTGGATAGAATTCAGGATTCATGTGAACTCCATGTGAAAAAATTATAACAGCAACACCTTTCGGGATAACAACACCATCTAAAAAACAATGTTAAAAAATAATAAAATAAAATATTTATTACTGTATTCAGCGTCTTGATCGATGTGTCTACCAAAAATTGGTACAAAAACGCTTTAAATCAGGCAAAACCGAAAAAAAGCATCGCATTAAAAACTTTATTTTGCGATTTTTTGCATTGTTTTGGAGAAATCCATTTTTCTCTGGTGAAAAAGATGTAAATCGAGCAAACCAAGCCAAAATAACGCAATTCCGACCTAATTTAATATTTTTATTTGTCTTTTTTTAAAAAAAACATATAATTCCTAAGTAAAAAAACATCTAAAATTTTTGACTCAACTGTGCAATTTTTTGTTTTGTTTTGGCAAAATGTCTTGAATTTGGTGCATTTCGGGCAAAAAAAAACGCAAAAATGATATATTTTAGACATAATTTTGCAATGTTGTATCTTGTTTTAACAAAATTTTCTAAATTTAGTATTTAAAACAAATAATAACATCGCATTATAGACTTTATTTCGCAAAATTTTTGAATTTGGTGATTTTCCTTTAGAAAAAACGAGCGAAACCGAGCAAAAATAACGCATTTCCAACTGATTTTACTCTAAAAACTGATTCTCATCATGACGACGATGTGATATAAATAACCAATCGAGATAATATTTGTGTAAACATATTTTGTGCTCCCACCTATCAATTTTTTGTAGAATATTGGTATTTATTAGTTACTGCTTTTTAAAATTTTTTAATACCAAAAATCATTAAAAAATCCAAAATAATTAATAGTGGAAGATAAAGCCCTTTTTCTTCTTTTTCTTTTCATT